GGAACTGCTGTGAGATCTTAGCTAAGGCTAGCTTTGCCTCCAATAATGCAAATCTCATTCCAATGCAATTTCGTGGACCCGAACCGAAAGGGATATAAGTATACGGTTTGATGTTTTCCCGGTTTTCGGGCATAAACCTATCAGGGTTGAATGTGAATGGATTCGGGTAGTGCTCGGGGTCGTGATGTATGGCATAGACAGGGATTTCGGCGATCACTCCCTTTTCGATCTTCACTCCAGTGTCGCCTAACTTTATGTCTTCCATGGCTTCCCTCTCGAGTCGAGGCAATGGAGGATAACTGCGAAGGGTTTCTGATACGAGTGCGTCCAGGAAAGGGAGTCTCGACAGCACTTCGTAATCTATTTCTCCCTTTTCGTTGAAAACTCCTTTCGTCTCCTCATAGAGTCTGTCCTGAAGTTCGGGATTGAGTGCCAACTCATAGGAACAGAACGACAGAGTAGTGGCAGTTGTCTCGTAACCGGCGACGAAGAAGAGGAAACATTGCGCTAATATCTCGTCTTCAGTCAACTTCTTCTCCAATACATTACTGAAGGCTTCGGCGTCGGCTGTGATCTCATCCTTACCCTCATTCACATGATGTGATTCATTGGCATCACTGGCCTCTCGTATGTCTCCTTCAGGTCTCTCGACATCCATTAATAACTGCAGAAAATCGTTGTGTTTTTCTTTATTTTCTTTTCTTTTCTTTATAAGACTTCGCGTGAAATCGACAAAAAATTCAGCACTAGAGCCACCGCCGCCTAAAAGCTTACCGTATATCTTACTGGATACAATAAATTTGGGCAGGGTCATTTGTAACAGCCCTCTCCAAATGGGGATATTGAAAAGGTGGGCCGCTTTGGTGGTGAACGGGTTCTTAGGATCGGTGTATGTATTGGTTTTGGTAGCGAAGGCACAGCTGGCGATCACATCCATAGTGTAGGCGCCCATCAGTTGCTTCAACTCGACTTCATTCATACCATTCGACACATCCTTATCCAAGTTATTGAGGAAATCTTTGCAGCAATGGTT